CCTAAAAGGTCCTTTAGTAGTTTGCGAGCTTTTATTTTGCTATAAGTTTTAATAATAATAATTTGAAGGTTTACCTTCACTTTAGGTGATATTGCCTAAAAGGTTTACCATATAATGAAGCGGCTAATATAAGAGAAAAACAAGCTGTGTCCGATGAGCCAATGGCGCGGGAATGGTTGTGATACGATGCCATCTGCTAATCTACAAATCTGTCCACAACAGCCATAGCATGTACATGTACATGCCACCTGTCGGGAAGCAGTTAAAAATAATGACTTGTATAATCTGACTTTGTCAAAGACTAAAATTAGGAAAGTTATCTGTGATATAGATTGTAATTAAACATTTCCTTTATAATAATTGAGTTTCTCTTGTTAATCCTTTTAATTATTATAATTTTTTTTATACTTTGCCTGCAAGGGTTATGAACTAGAATAGGGAAAATTTGAGACATGTATTTAAAAGAAAAGAGAATTACAAACAATATTATTTGTTTGCAGGACGAAGGCGACAAGCGTCAGGCAGGTGTTGGATCAACTACACGTGGGGGTGTATGCACTCCCCAAGGCCTAGACTCTCACTCTCAACGCATGATAACCACTTTCATGACCCAAGCGGGCTGGATCTCCTCGTTCACATGACCACCCTTTGATTTTGGGATCTGAGCAGCTGGATCTACATCTACAGCACAAGAGTCTTGGGCATGTAGATTTTGAAGGCATTATTCTGCTGCGATGATCCCAAAATAATAAAAATACTAGGATGACATTTCAAGAAAAATAAAAGGAATAATGGTAATCATATGAAAATAAATAGCTAAAAGAGGGGAAAAGTGTTCACTAAAGAAACAAAGGAAAGAAAATAGAAAAATATTTGCAGTTTGAAAAGTCAAGTCTTGCATCCCCCCATTTTTTTTCTTCTTCTTCTTTTTTTTTATCATAAGGAGTGATACTATTGGATGCTTAGCTGGTTCACTTTTATGCTGATTACATATCGGAGTCTTTTAGGCATTTTGTATGAGAGCTCCATAATTATGTCATTTTGAATACCAGTCAGTATTCCTCGGAAAATTGTTATATATATGTGGAGTTTTCATATAGTGAATGTTAAATGGTGTTAATCCATGGAAAATCAGTACAATACTGATTAGATAAGCCTGCCCTCCCTATGCTCCTTTTGATTCAGTAATGAATTTTGGTAAAACTGAGTTGCAATATTTGCATAATGCTTGTACTGGTGATGGTGATATTATATTTTAAATTTTACATATTAGCATCTGCAGGTATACTTTCTCCTTTTTAGACACATGCACTTCTTAAGTACCACTAGTAGCTAAGTATAGTATAAAAGGATATTTGTAATCAAAGGAAGTAATTGATTAAACTTACTTTTTAGTGTGGATATTGTACCTGTGAACATGTCCTCGTATCTTTCAAGTTCTTTTATTTGTTTAATTGATATTCTGATGGAAAACCAGGCGAAAAATGCAGTCAAGTGCAGTGCTTATTGATTTTTTTTTTCTAGTCAAGATTGATTCGATTTCAGTAACATTTGATAATCAACTCGAAATATTATTTTTTCATATCAGTTGCTGATATTTTGCTCACCATTATAACTTTTAATGTTCAGAAGGTGTTCATCTAATCATTGTATAATTTGGTCACTGAAAAGAAGGTGCATACCAAGAAATATTGTTTAGTTTAGATTTAAGGACATTTAATTTTTATACAAATCTTCTGTACCTGGATATTTATCATTTTTAAGAGAGATGTAGTATTTCAAGTTTGTTTTTTATTCTTCCTTTTGTATGGTGTTTAGAGGTTTGAAAAGAAATATGGCTTCAATCACAACTATTTATTCCAAAGCTTTTTAAAGTGGTGCTGTAACATACAAACAAAACACTCATCAGAACAAGGTGATTGAACAGTATGGGACAAGAGTATCAAAGAGCATCGTGTATATAGAATGCCTTTGGTTTAGTGACATTATTCATGTATTTATATATATAAATAATAATATATATAAGTCTTGCACAATAATGCCATAAATCAATAGCTTATTAAATTATTTTGTTTGGAGAGATCATTTAAAATTTTACTAACAACCTTGGAATAGAATTCGCATATTATATTACCTTTCATAGAAAAAACACATCACTCAAATTCAAACACTTATCTACACACATCAAACTTCTTTGGAAACATGCAGAAATGATTGCATGGAAACAGCTTCACTGGATAAGTACAAATGGAATGTCAGAAATATTAAGAGGAGTGTGACCTTAGATACACACTGAGGACTAACCAACCCTGGAGTTCTCTGTGTCATAAACAACATACACTGGTGGTGCAGAGTTGAGAAAATTAGATTTGATTTTTCTGACAACTTCTCACGTCCACGAATAATGTCTCCTTTACTTTGTTGACTAAACTGAAGCAAGGAATATTTTGAGGTATAGTTTGGAATGTTGATAATATAAACTAATAGGAACACAACTTTCAAAAGAAATTAATCTTAAAGGTAGTATAAATATACAAACTTTGGAATGAGAATGCAACCTTACAGATTACGAGATAAATTATTAGGACTAATTATTTACACACACTAACCATAACTTTGGCATTTAGCCTTAATACTTTGGAGATGAGGACTCGTTAAAGTATAAATAAAGATAAAGAAACTATTCGATCCCTGATCCATATAGATTGTCTCGATCTATTGTAGATATGCTATCATTCTTGGCATACACTTCTACCAAATATTTTAAACATTGGTATGTATTGGCTAAACTGGCAAATGAAAAGGTTAGGCACAAGAAATTGATTTTGGCCCCTTGTATTTGAACAAAATGTTTGGAATGTTGGCAACTAAAGAAAACTACTGGACAATATTTTGGCAGGTACTGTACAAGCAAACAAATAACAATAACGAGTAACAAAATCAACTGGGAGTTGAAGACATCACAGACTAAAGGAATGAAATTATATTAAACTAAATATATCAAACCACTGAATCATTATATACACACTATATACATAACGTTAACTTACAGATTACAGAAGAGTCTAGGGCACGTTGTCAAGGCACGAATTTTTAAATTTCAAGGCAAACTGTGAATGCATTACGAATGGAAAATAATAGAATAAGTAACCATTAATATGAACTACAAGCTATGACATACATTGCACTCAGCTAAGTATTGGAAAAGTTTTCTTGAACAGACACACCCTCATTGTAAAGACAGAAGTCCCTTTTAACGGGGAAGTTCTGCATGCATTATCGCACCCCCAGGAGCTTCGCTGCATCATCCGCCGATTTAGATGTCAGCAAATGATCGACAACTGCTCGTCTTGTTCCAAGGAGGTTGGAGATGAAGTCAGACCCTTCGGTTTCATCTTTGCGCTCCTCTTTAATTTCAGTCTTTATTGCTGGCGAGGACAAACTTCCCTCTTTCTGCTCAACAGCAGACAAAACAGGTGAAGAGTTTGTATGCTGGGTTGTAACGTGCTGCTTTAATTCAGCAAGACTCCAATATCGATTCAGGCAGAACATACAGCTCACCTGTAAAAGAAGAAAATTCTTCAGCACTTCTATTCATCATATAGTGCAGTTCAGTAATTCTACATACTGACAAGTCAATGTCACTGTGTGATTTCAGCAATCAGGATGCTCAGAGGACACTGAACTTACCCTCTCTGTGGTAGTTGAATCTGGCGTTGGAGAAAGGGGGTCGTTGTTGTTCTCAGCTGTGACCGGTTCTATACTAGTAATTTTCTGAAAGTTTTCTGGATGGGCTTCTTTGACGTGCTGTACTGCCACCTCGCGACTTGCAAGCGGTACTTCGCACACGTGGCAGCGGAACGGTCTAGCGTCGTCCCTCGAGATGGCCGTGTCGCTTGCCTTCTCGTGTTTGAACACTTCGTGCTTGCGGAGGCTCTCGAGGCTGGTGAAAGCTGCACCCGGACACTTAGAGCAGCGGTAAGGGCGGTCGCCGCCGAGGGTGTGTGGGGAGTCGGGATGCTTTCTCAGGAGGTGGCGGTCGCAGTTGGACTTGGTGGTGAAGGGAAAGTGGCACACTGGGCACAGGTATGGCTTTTGTCCTGTGTGAGTGCGGATGTGTCGCACAAGGGAACTGGACCATGGGAACTTTCTCTGGCAGAAAGGGCATTTTTGTTTTTGTGGCGCCGAAGAATAGGCACTGCGCTTGGCTTCTTCCGACATTGTGTTGGAGGAAGTGGAGTCATCTTCACCAGGGACTTCCTCCTCCCCCTCACTGCCAAAAAAAGGGAAGCTCTGACTGGAGGCAGTTGAGAGCAACGTGTGGACGCTAGCGAGGTCAGCACTGCTGTCTTCCCGACTTTTCTCTCCACTACTCTCCTGGCCTTCCTCTTCTTCCTCGTCCTCGTCGTCCTCCTCCTCATCTTCCTCTTCTTCTTCCTCCTCCTCCTCCTCCTCGCCTTCATGACCATCATCAATGACTAGCTCCCTCTCTTCCTCTTCTCTCTGCTCCGCCTCCTCGCCTCTGTCTTCAGCTGCGTCCTTTTCGATCTTGATGATGAGCTGCTCTCTCACTGTCTCTGAAATCGTGTGTGGAGTGTCAGAAACAGACGTGGGCGTGTCCGACTCCGACCTGGGCGTGTTGACTCCTCTTGGCCGGTGTTGCCAGACGTCGGGGTGCTGCTGCTTCATGTGTCGCTCCATGTTGGAGCGGAGAGTGAAGCCCTTGTCGCACAGGTCGCATCTCCACGGCCGCTCGGTCCTGTACCGCCGCTGTTTGGGCTTTTTCATGAGGACGGAGTTGCGAATCGTGAAATGCATCACATCCTCGTCGCCAGGCTTGGAAATGGGCGTGGACTGGCTGTCAGATGTGGACGAATCCTCGGATTTACTTTCACTGGAACGGATGTCGGGTCGGGGGATGCGGAGGGGGTTGCGGTGGGCGGCGACCATCGCCAGCGCCGACAGCGAAAACGAAGGGGAACTCTGCAGGAAGCCTCCGCTTAGAAGCCCGCCGCCGGACGTCAGCTGTAGGCCGCGCTTCAGCTCTTTCTGGTACTCCTCAAAGAAGGCGGGGTCCAAATTGCGCACGGGATGGTGCAGGCCGTTGTAAGGGTTCATGAGGAAGGAATACTGGTGAGGGCTGAAGGGACTGCACAGCGGCAGGGGCTGGGGGTACATGCCCAGGGAGAAGGGCGGCTTGGGGATTTTGAGCACTTCGGTCGCGGACTCTGACGTTGGTTCGGGGCTCTTGGCCTCGTCGGGCTCCTTGCACTCCTCCTTGCGTGGCTTAGACAGGTCCTCGGGCTCGACCTGCTCGCACTTCACGTCATTCACCTCGATCTCCTCGTCGTCGTCGTCGTCCTCCTCCTTCCTGTCATCCTCATGCTCTCTCTTGGAGTTCATGCTGAGATCCAGAGGCGCGTCCTCGTCGCTAGCGGAGAGCACGCTGGGCACGGGCGTGAGTGTGGGCGTGACGGACGGCGTGAGCGTGCGACCAGGAACCAAGGGCGTGGGAATTCCTGCGTTGTGCGAGAAGGGCAGAGGGAGCGCCGGCGGCGGCGGCTGGTGGGAGGTAGTGAGGGGCATCGCGGTGAGAGGCAACTTGGAGAAGCTGAGGAGCGACTCGACGGGCGTGAGGTCGTGGTGGTCCTGGTGGTCGTCGCGGGCGGCCTGGCTCACAACGAGGCTGTCGAGGGTGGGCCCCGTGGCGGCCTCCGAGTGCTGCTGGATCACGTGGCGCATGACGTCGTTCTCGGAGGAGAAGGCGCCGCCGCACAGCTTGCACGAGAAGGGCTTGGTCATGCCCTCGGGGTGCGAGGAGCGGATGTGGTCGCGCAGCACGGACCGCGCCTTGCAGTCGATGTGGCAGATGTGGCACACGGTGTCCAGGGAGCGGTCGGTGCTGGCGCCCTCCTCCTGCGGCACGTACGTCATGCAGCCCTTGACCTCGTCCCGCGACTGGCGCCCGTGGATGTTCTTGATGTGGCGCTCGCAGTTGGCCTTGGTGGTGAACGCAAGGTTGCACAGGTTGCACTCGTAGGGCGTGTCGCCCTTGTGGCTCTTCATGTGTTCTTTCAGAGTGTTCTTGTCGTTGCTGAAGAAGGAGCACAGGTTGCACCGGTACGGGGGAGCCACCATGTGGACCAGGTTGTGGGACTTCAGCTTGCGCAGGTTGGCGAACACCTCCTTGCACAGCTTGCACGGGTACTGGCCGTTCAGCTTCATCTCGCGGTAGCCTCGCGCGAACTGCTCGTCGTGCGAGAGCCCCGGCGCCGTGGACAGCAGAGGCGCCACGCTGCTGGCGGTGGTCGTGGTTGTGGCGGCGATGCGGCCGGCGGACGGGTGCTCGGGGGACGCCTTCGCGGAGTCTGCCGGCGCGGGCGAGTGCTGGCCTGGGGGCTGCATGCTCAGGTGCGGCCCCAGTCCGCTGGCGAAGATGGAGGCTGCCATGGAGGTGGCGGAGGCGGACTCGGCCTCCTGCTGCTTGAGGAGGTCCAGCACCCTGAGGAAGCCCTCCTTGCCCGGCTGCGGCTCCTCGCACAGGTGGCGCTGGTGGTGGTGCGACAGCTCGACCACGTTGGAGAAGCTGAGGTCGCACCGGAGGCACCTGAGGGAGGAGGCGGACCCCGTGGAGGCGGCGGCGTGCTCGCGCATGTGCATGAGCCACGACTCGGCGCAGGGGAATGTGATATGGCACAACTGGCACCTGTGCACCCCCACCCCCTCCCCGGGCTGCTGGTGCACGCGGTCCCGCTCGCAGATCTCCTTGGCGATCAGCGGGAACTTGGGGCTCGAGAAGTCCGTCAGGGTGAGGTCCACCTGGGGTGGCGACGCTGTGGACGTGTGGTGGACCATGGAGTTGTGGAGGTGCAGCGCCCGGTAGTTTTTGAAGCCCACCTGGCAGGTGGTGCACGCCACCTGGTACTCTGGGTGGATGTTCTCCACATGCTGCTCGAGGGCGTGTTGACTAGGCTGCTCCACTCCGCAGGCGGGGCACGTCAGCTCCTCCTCCTCCACTTCGCTGGCGTTGAGGCGCACGGCCTTGGCGGACACCACGCTCTCCTCGTCCTCCAGGTGGCGCTTGCGGGGCGACGACGTGTCCTCCTCCGAGGCCAAGTCACTGTCGCCCGTGTCCGAGCCCGCGCCGCCACCGCCGCCGCCACCGCCGTTGCGGTAGTGCCCCCGGATGTGGCGGTGCATGTTCCCATTGGTGGTGAAGTGCGTGCCGCAGATGTGGCAGCGGAACGGCCGCTCGCCGGAGTGTACCAGCATGTGCCTGTCCAGCGAGCTGTTGCTGCTCAGCTGCTTCTTGCAGATGCCGCAGCAGTACACTTTGGTGCCGTTGTCGGTCTCGATGACGTGGTTGTGCTTGCGGATGTGCTGTGTGAATTCGTGCTGGGCCGGGAGCACCTCCTCGCACACGGGACACGAGAAGTTTCCGGTGAGGCCCGCCTCGCCCTCGCCCTCACTCCCGCACGCCGTCTGCAACGAGAAACAACACTTGATTAACGGAATGGCCGGCGAAGTGACCCCCGACCCCGCCGCACCGCACGCCGCCAGACGGCAGGTGCGACCCGCCGCCGCTACCTGTCACCCTCGCCGCCGCTGCCCCTCCCTCCCTCCCTCCCTGCCTCCCCCCTCCGCGCAGCGGCTTTCCTCGCTATAATGGAGCGACTGCAGCGAGCGACGGCTCAGCGGCCGTGCTCGCCGTATCCACTAGGCAGTCCTCTGATCACACGTCACTAAAAGCCTTGTTAGCACTCGCAACACTCAGCGATTACACTCTACACATACATCCACACTGCACAGAAGACCAAGCCCATCCCCGCCGAGAAAAGGGTGCGGAGGATGTGGTTGCGAGTGCAAGGATCTGCGTGGCTGATGCCCGCCTCACGCCATAGCTTCGGCCTCGGTGCATCACCGCGGTTTCTAAGTAAACTCGCACTGCGGCCTCGCACTGTCGCGCAGCCAAGTCATATTTCGAATATTCTTAACTTGAAATAAGCTCATGAAAAAAACTGCAAAATTCTATTTCTAATAAAAACAATAATAGTCTTATGATTACTGCTATCAATATAACGATTACAACTACAACAGCAATAACAGAATTTAGTAACACTTGAGTAGCAGTAACAGCAGTAATTAGTAATAGTTGAAGTAGAAGTATTAAATAATAAATGCACAAAACCACTATAATAATAATAATAAAAGTGACAACTAATTAAAATCAAGAGCAGTGCTTCACTTCTTGGCCTCCTTCACATCCCGCCCCACCGCCTGCCGCAAAGTCCTCGCACGCCATTCCCTTCCAAGAGGACCTGCCTCGCTTCCACCATCCTTCCGTGGTCTTTCAAGGCAAGTCTTCCTTCGCCAGGAGAGGCGTCGCGTGAGCCAGAGTCTCGTGTGATGACGCCCTCCTATTTATTTATAAAGACCGGACATTACGGCCGCGCCAAGACGGGATGTCCCGCAGGATTCCCCAGCAGAGGCATGAGGAAGGCGAAGGAAGGGGACCAGGAGTCGGGAAGGAAGTGCTGACGGCGGAGTCACTATCACACACGAGGAAAGTGGATCGCGCAAAGTGGAACATCACAGTGCGCGTGGCCCGAGGTGCGAGGCCAAGGCGCACTCCACTCGCCCCGGGCCCTTCGCGCGCCGCCGCCGTCTTGCACTGACTCGGAAGCCGCTGGCCAACTCGGGAATGTGCACTAAGTCCACACGCAAACACACACACACACTATCGAGTATAAATGCACACCAATAAAAACGACTAAGTGTATGAATGACTCTTACCATGTTAACACACATGGATATCACTCGCGAGAAGCTAGGGTGAAGTAGATCCGAGTATTGTTGAAGCACCATGAGTACAATAGTCCATCTGAGTACACAAACACAAGCAGAGCCTCATGCTACTGCTGCTACTACTACACGTGGTCGCGCCACCACCAGTCACAGCACACTGATCACGCACGCTCGGACTCGCCTCCGACACAGCGCGGGGCGTGGCGGCAACTTCAACGCTGCGCCGTGACGTTACGCCGAAGACTGCGCCAGTGTCCATCGGCAGTGACCAGGAGCCGGCACTGGTGGGGGAGGGGCGGAAATAGGGGGGGGGAGGAGGAAGAAGAACAGTGCCCTTACCTCGACTTTGTGAACCTTCGCTGCCTTCCGCTTCTTGGCTCCTGAGAGAGGCTCTTGATTGGTCAAGATGTTACTCTCTTCTCTTTCACTGGTGGGCTGGAGGCGAGCTGCGCTGTGATTGGTGGGCTCGTTGGCCATGTGGGCGGAGTCTGGGGTCGGGGGCGCCTCTGGCGAGAGGGGGGTGGAGTTGTGGGAGGAGTCACGGGTGGGGTCACACTCCGCCCTCAGGGGGGAGGAGCCTGGGGGGGTCAACGTGCCCTTAGGCTCTGGAGACGCTGTTGCCGCAGCCATGTCTGTTTCACCTGCGGGAGAGAACAGTTCCTTAGATGAGTGCGCCATATGGTCAGTACGCACAATGCTTCACAATCATGAATTACATAACGCTAAATAGGGCTGGATTCGCACACCCAGCGAAACGCGCATCTGCTATGACCTTTGATCAATAACCGATACAGATCGATTTCGTAGTTGCGTCTCCGCGTCTGATGGTAATTTTATGCAGAGCCCGACGTATACACAGGGAAATATATTCCACCACTCGTACATTAACACCTTTGATATGACGTGCATTTTAATTTCCCGCTCGTCCAGCTAAGAAACTAAAATTACTAGCAAGAAATAAAAAGTCCACGTAATTCCTGCATTTATATAATACCGATCATAAGAGCTAATTCTAACCTATTCGCCACCTTACGCTAAAACCTCATGAAAAGATCCTTCTTAATTAAATGAAACCAGAAACTCACAAGCACAATGAAAAAGGAAAATCAGTTGCTTTCCAATGCACGCCACGAGAACACGCGTTTTTCTTATCTTAATTTACTGTTTGAATACCTACTCTAATTTACGCCTTGCTCTAACAAACCACGGATTTAACACTAAGCATCTATTGAGTTCATTTACTTTGATTCTACACGCTTAATACTCATATTAAAGCGATAATTAGGTTCTATATACACACATGCAACCTGTATGTTATATACAATAAACACCTAAATAAACAAATAAACACACAAGTGAATATCGAATTTTGAAAATTTCTCCATCGTGTTTGTAAGCACAAAATTTTATTTATGTTTAATCTACATCGCATTTATTTACAAACTAATAGCAAGTTCACATGCACTTTATTTAATTACGCGACTATCACAACATAATCTTACAAACCGCACTATTTTTCTACAGACATAATTAAGCAGATGAAAATCTATCAAATCGCACCTTAAATTTCTTTTCCCGTAAACAAGAAATTCAAAAATATGAGTCACGGAGTTCACCCTTATTTATAATCATAATAAGAACTATGTTAATGAAATTGATTAGCCGAAAGTAATGTTTACGAGAGGGGAGAGGAGAGGAGAGGAGAGGAGAGGAGAGGAGAGGAAAAGAGAAGAGAGAGAGGAGAGAGAGAGAGAGAAGAGGAGATGAAAGATGAGATGAGAAGAGAAGAGATGAGAAAGAGATGAAAGAAGAGATGATAAGAGAGGAGAGGAGAAGAGAGAAGAGGAAAAGAGATGAAAGAAGAGAAGAGAAGAGATGAGAGAAGTGAGAAGAAAAGAGAAGAGGAGAGAGGACCGGTCACTTACAGAATACTGGTTGATGATCTGGAGATGGAATCACGCCGAAGATTTTGTGTCGGTACTCTTCTGTTGACACTACCATGTCTACCACTCTTCACGTCTACACACTAGTACAGTAATTAAAGCTTGTACCAAAACACTGCGGCGACAAACAAAGCTGTCTACTTAATTTAAATAAAACATGCGTTCTTTGGTATACAACACTGACACCAGGTAAAGATGAAAAAATATATAGTAACACTTTTCCTGAGTCACCAGAAAGCTCTACTGGCTACTTCACTAGTTGCACTAAACAAAACGGCCAACTATTAACAACCATTTCACTGGACGGTAGTTGTTGCTATAGCCCTACCCTCAAGGGCAAAGACATTACTCGGGGAGAGTAATAACGTTATGACTAGTGAGAGGGTGAGAGAAGTACTGAGATGT